GAGATGGATTGGCCAGGTGGCAGCATTGATGGACTCAAGTGTGGCAGCGGTAGTGAGGTTGGCCCAGGATCGGACATTGTTTCGTTGTGCTGTCTGCTGTGCATGGGGTCGCTATGAGTTGGTTCCGACTCGATGGCACCTGACAACAGTTTTGCCCCATTGGGGTACTTTTTCACATGTATTTGTTCCCTAATAATTCCCTAAATGAAATATTAATAATTATACAAATTGCTTTGTGCCACTGATTATGATTTCTACAGTTCATCAGCATTCTTGCTGTTTCGAGTCTGTTTGTTGAGTTTCCATTGATTTAGCTTTCTTTCTCTCCTTGCTGTCTCACCTTTGCTTTTGGGTAAATGTTGATCATTTGGTTTCATACAGCTTATTGTTTAAGGGAGCACATTTATTTATGGTGCTACTGTTTCTTTTATAAGCCAATCTCTTATTTGACTGAAATACATGGGGTACTCGCTTAAAAATTTCAAGGAAATATATAATTAAAAGATGATGAGTGGTTCCCTGAACTCTTTGTAGCCCTCTCATAGCTTCAGTTCCACATTGAAAGGTTATAGTAGGCCATTAGTCTTAGGAATTCCTTCTAGTCTTTGTCAGTCCAGTAGATCTGGCCTTTTTTGGGATTATGAGTTTGCTACATTTTTTCAGCCATTTCATCCCAGGACCTTTTTTTGTGTCGCTGGTCAGAAGGTCCGTAGTAAGCCGGGCCACCATCTATGTCTTCTGGTCTCAGGTTATAATCGACTCATGTGGGCTAGTTTCTTCTTTGAACTTTGATTTTCTTCACTTTCCATTGTTCTATATGAGTAGAGAACAGTAATTTTACCTTAGATGTTGCTCTGTTTTAAGTCCCGACACCAAACTACTATATAGTACATTATCTTTGTGAACAGTGTTATGCCAGCTGACTAGGTTGTGCCCTTAGATAATGGTTCCAAGTCTCTAATCCTGTGACTATAAGTCTGGATATGTCTAGGAACCCATTCTGTGTCGCCTGTATGGTTTGTTATATGGGTAGTTCACAAGTACAAGTGAGATCCATTCTTGTGTCTCTAAGTCTCTAAGTGGATTTTATAGGTGAGTTGGAATGTTGCATGTGGTTCTTATGCATGGTGGTCATGCAAGGTCATCAGTTCAAGCTCACTACCCACCTGGGGGTATATGAAGCTGTCTGCTCCTCTAAAGATTTATAGTCTTGGAAACCCTATGTAGGGTCGTTAATGAGTTGGAATGGACTTGATGGGCGGGGTTTGGTTTTGGTTAGTGCGAGAATCCTTTTCAGTGATTTAAAAGGTGGTTATGCAGTAAGTGAAGATGATTGTGATGAATCTGTTTGGAGTAGGTAGGTAAATCAGTAATTTCAAAGTGAGAGAAAATACAATTACATAACATTAAAGGGCAAGTGGGTGGTAAGCCTGGACGTTTGTAGCCTGGGAATTGCCTGTGTATATGGATAAAATGTGTCTTTTAATTCCACTTTCCACGAACTTTTTGAAGCTCCTTGTATATGCAGCATTGCGTGTTCTTTGTTAGAAGCAGATTTGAAATTATAAATCCCCTAGAGATAGACAAAATCAGGTGTATGTACTAGAGTAGTTTTATATTATCCAATACAAAGTGGTGCTTGCCTAAAAGAAAATAGAAAATTTAAATGGGAGGGATCAAAAATTGAAAAGACAGTGTTGCATAGTAATTAACTGGGCTTGAATAATAGGTCTGCAGTTACTGTCTTTGGTGATTTTTGGCTAGGTAACTGTATAATTTTTCAAATGATTAAATTTTTTCTTTAAAGAACCATATAGTGAATATGTGATCTTTTACATATTTTTATTTGCAACTCTTTAAAAAAGTAAAAACTCAATTAGATTGGTTGGCAGCTTTATGACAAAGCTTGTGTTATGCCTGATAACATCCTGAAAGTTCATTAAATTGATAACCAATTGTTTGACTATTGAAATTCTTAATTATCTTTGTACAGGAGTGGTTGGCAAACTGTGGCGTTCGTCTAAATGCAGTTCGCTACCCGTCTTTGTACAGCATGTGCTGAGAATGTATTTCTATATAATTGGAAAAAATTCAAAAGAAAACTATTTCAGGACATGCGGATATTCTCATGTCAGTTTATGAAATTCTAATGCCACTGTTCATAAATACTACTGAAGCATTGTCTTTAGCTGCTTTTGTGCTATAGTAGCAGAGTTGAATAGTGAGACAAAAACCCTATGACGGCAGCTCTAAAAATCTGAAGAATCCTTTTAGCTTTGAGGTACTGCTGCCTTGCCTATTACTAGAAGTTTCAGGAGGATAGAAAAGGGAAGTCGAATCTCTGCAGAAAAGCGATTATTTCTCACTAAGGTGGATAGTTCTAAACTTTAGTTTTCTGACTACCTTAGTTTCCCATAGCCAATTACTGAATTGTTTACATGTTTCTGGACATAGCTGAGCTCTGAAACAAGGTTGTGTTTTTATAGTATTTCAAGTCATTCAAACCTAATCTGTAAGGATTTATCTGTGAAGATCTCTTTGGTAATAACAGAATGCCCAGTCCAAGTGATTGATTGGTTCCTTAAGAGGGCTTTAGGATGCTTAGATCTGGCATGGCCTGTCTTAGAACAGGGCTAGCAACTATATTTCCCTTGTAGTATCATAGTTCCAACTTGGAAGAATTAATCCACACTGTATTCCTAACAAACTTCACATGAAGAGCTATAGTGTTAGGAGTGGTTTCTATTAAGACAGTTTTTCTAGGGTAATTTTTTTCTTAATTATTTAAGACTATATTCTAGAGTTTGGGTACTTTCATTTAAATCTAAAGATTCAAAACTGTTCCACTTCATTTTTGAAAGAAAATAGACAAAGTTAAAACACATACCACTTAGACTCTTAACATATAAAATGTACAAAGGGGCTTCAGAAAGTTTATGGATGGGAAAAAATCCATTATCTTTTAATTCCATTTTTCTAAAATCTTGATAAAGCCCCCTCACAAAATTTAAAACCAAAATACCCTTTATAAATTATCCCTGTGTGTAAAAATTAGCTCCTGATTTTTTTTTCAAGGGGGTTTACACTATCCTGAATTGTTATACAGATTGAATGTGAGACGTATACTGGAGTGTAGCACTGACATAGCTTTCCAAGGATAAAGCAACAGTTGTTGTTGTAAGTGCTGTCCAGTCAGTTCCAACACACAGCGACTCTGTATAGGATTTCCAGTGTGCAGTTGGTGAGCTTGAACTGCCAACCTTGGGGTTCAAACCGACTTTGCATCCAGCGTATTAACCCCCAGCGCCACACCAGGACTCCTCCTAAAGCAGTAGTGAAGCACAAACCCAGTATCCCAAAATATTCATACCTATGTGGACAGTACCACATGTAACTTTGTTTAAAATTACAAATGGCTGTTTTCTGTAAAGATTGGCTTTAATAAGCTCTTTACTGTTTTTTCCTATATGCACTGTTGGTTAAATTGCAAAGTTGTCCATGAAATTTATCTATGTTAAAAATTTGAATACAAGGCAAAATTGTTGGGGTTTTGAGTAACACAGATTTTCATTTTAATGGAGGATTTGCTTATTTCAAAATTTTACCTAAAAGTGTCCTTCTGGGTGGTGGTAGATAAAAAACATCTTTAAAATAATTCAAAATATTAAATAGGTCAAAAGTAATCTATTTTGTATTATTAAACTTTCTGTTATAATGTCAGAAGTGAAAGTTTACCTCTGCTTACAGCTTATTTGTAGTCTTCCTTACTTGACCTACTTTTGGACATAGACATTGCATATAGTTTCCATTTTTGTTGAATAAAAGCTGTGCACACTGATGTTTAACTTGAATTTCTAGGTCAGTGCATCTAGATCTCCTTCATAATAGAACATGTTCTGTCTTTGATATTTACCACATTTACACAACCAGTCCCCTTTTGAAGGACATATGGTTGTATCTAGTTTTTTGCTGTCTTCTGATAGCATAGCACATGTCAGGAATGGTAAGGAAGTAAGTGGATGGCACTGCTACTTTAAATGAAAAGTAGAGAAGAAACTTCCTTTGCCATACTCACTCATTAAAAGTGAAAGTTAATTTAAAAGAAAAACACTGTCAAAAGTTGGGAGGACCAAAATTGATACTTTTTCTCTGATCTTTTTGCCATGTGTATATCTGAATTCTTTGTTTTTAAAGAAGAAACAGCATTGAAGCATTATTTGGGGGGAAAACACACACACAAATCCAGCAACTCAGCATTCATGAGCAACTCTATACTATACCAGTATGTGCCTGTGCAGTGGAAGGAAAACAATTTTGGTAAGGAATTAAAACTTTAGCTTTAAACTTCCAGCAGGTTGATATTTACGGTGAATGATGAATCAAAACAAATTAATAGAAAAAGTCTTTTGTTGACAGTGCCTTTTTTGTAGTTTTTAAAATTAAGTCTATCACAGTATCTTTCATGTCTGTGATTTCCATTTCCACTTTTCCCATTTAAAAAAAAAAAAATTTGCAGCCAGCCAAAATTTAGATATAAAGGGGTGTGTATTACTTCTGACTTATTAAAATATCTATTTACATATGCTAGGGTTACTTATGAATAGAAGGTCTTTTTCTTCAAGGGGCCAAGTTCTCTAACATCTTTGTTTTGTGTTAAGTGCTGTGGAGTCAGCTTTGACACATAGCGACCCTGTATAGGGTTTCCAAGGTTATAAATCTTTGGCGAGAGCAGAAAGCCTCATTTCTCCCAGACAGTGGCTGGTGGGCTGGAACTGCTGACCTTGTTGTTTGCAGTGCAGTTCACATTTTATGGAGCTCCGCACACCCTGCATTCATCTAGATGCTTTAAAATGCTTTTATACTTTAAAGATTATACATGGGGGCTTATCATTGGCAATTTTACTGTATTAAAAGGCTTTTTTGTTTGACGTAGACAGTTTCATTTGTTACATCAGTTTCTTTAATGTAAACATTTTATTTTTACCTTTTGATATACATAGGAAATATACCCTGGACAATTCCAGCCATCTCTCTGTCACAAATTCATAGCCTTGTCAGATAAGGAAGGAAAATTACTTCGGAACTATACTCAGAACATAGATACACTGGAGCAGGTTGCAGGAATACAAAGGATAATTCAGTGTCATGGTGAGTAAACGTCAGAATTGTTTCCTATAATTTATTTAAGCAGTAGTATAATATCCTGGTGTGGTGCTGTAGGATCAGCACTGGACTACTAACCACAAGGTTAGTGGTTCAAACCCACCAGCTGCTCCTTGGAGTCCGTATGTATACAGGGTCACTATGAGTCTGAATGGACTCAACATCATTTAATGACAACAGATTTAACTGTAGATAACTGAAGGAAATTAGAATGCCAAAAAAAAAAAAAAAAATCCAAAGTCTTAGTTAGCCTTGATATTTAATTCTTTGAAACATCAAAAAGTAATGGTTTTCAAAAGAAATTAGAGTTATATGCATTAAGTTCTTTTAAATTGCCTTTTCTGTCATTGGTAATATGTGAAGAACTCCGACATCGTTAGTTTATAAAACCAGAGAAGTGTGAATAGTTTAACTATTAGCCACTTCCTTGTGTATCTAAAAGCGGGTTTTAGAGCACAACTGTAGAAGTAAGTTTTGTTTGTTTGTGGTTTTGAAAAGCAGCTTTTAGGGGGGAGAGGGGATCCTTGTGTAGTAAGGAGTCCTGGTCTGGTGCTTTGGGTTAATGCGCTGGACTGCAAAGTCGGCTTAAACCGCCAGCTCACCAGGATCGCTATGGGTCAGAACAACGTTATCTAATGTTGTAACAGTTGAGGTTTTATGGGTCTTTTGTTACTTAAATATTTATGGGGGTTCTTCTTTTTTTTAGTTCATCCCCTTGATTCACCTGTGGATACTCTTTAGACCATGAAGCGTCTCTAACTTTCCAAGTGTCAGAGTTTACATTATAATCTTGTGACATGTTTAAAATATAGAAATATTTCATTAACAAGGATAGATATGTTGGTTGTTTTTCAGGTTCCTTTGCAACAGCATCTTGCCTGATTTGTAAATATAAAGTTGACTGTGAAGCTGTACGAGGAGATATTTTTAATCAGGTAATTTATGGCCCATTTTTAAAAACTTTGTGCATGTTTCTTATCTAGTCCTCTTTTTTAGCTTCAAATACACTTTCTGGTAAAAGTATTTCTTTGATACAGAAAGATCCAGGAAGAAAGTATTAGCATTGGCAGTTCTGGTGATATTCACAAGACCTTTTCAATACTGTAACTTAGAAACCATTGCCCTGTGATGTTTGTTAAAAGGTGATGTTGTTTCCTTACTACCTAGGCCTAAAACAGAGAGCCATTATTATAAGCTAGGTGTTGCTATATTGATGTTTCTCCTTACTTTCTAAGTACCTGCTAGATTTGGAATTTTAAATTAATTTTGGTATTCCTTTAAGACATTTAAAAAATTATTATAAAAGGTTTTTCATATGCGCTGACCAAAAATATAGGAAGATATAGAAAACATGTACCTTAAACATATAAGCACAAGGTCATTTTAAAGGGGTAAGTTTTTTTTCTATGAACAATTTTACATTTGCATCATACAATTTTTTTTCCTCTTTAAGAAAGGTGAAAATGTTAATTATTTTGACTTGAGCTTTCCTTTCTCTTTCCCCCTCAACCAAAATCTGGAACACATTGCAGGTGGTTCCTCGATGTCCCAGGTGCCCAGCTGATGAGCCACTTGCTATCATGAAACCAGAGATTGTCTTTTTTGGTGAGAATTTACCAGAACAGTTTCATAGAGCCATGAAATATGACAAAGATGAAGTTGATCTCCTCATTGTTATTGGATCTTCCCTGAAAGTAAGACCAGTAGCACTAATTCCAAGTAAGTTGCTGATGGTGTTTGGAGACCGTTTCTGTGTATGTGTCTTGAGTCAAAAGAATTTGTATTTAGTAGACCCCAGTACTGTTTCTCTGCTCTTTGTTAGAGTGAAGAGCTAAATTTTATTTTTTAGGTGGCATTCTTGTTCATGAAGATTGGTCATTCTGACAATTGGGGTGGCGGAATATCAAAATAGAAGTAGTAGCAAATTCTTATTTTTAAAGTGAATTATTTGTAATGTGATGTTATGTTAAGTGCCGTTGAGCTGTTTCTGCTTCATTAGCAACCCTATATAGGGTTTGAACAGCTGACATTGCAGTTAGCAGTCCAGTGCTTCCTAGTGTCACACCAAGACTCCTGTAATATGATAAGGCTAATTATGAAACAGTTTCTGATTTATATATTTTCAATGTAATACGAATACAGTTCCTTAATAGTCTACACAGAGGATAAAGTCACAAATTAATGAATACTTTTTAATAGATTGAATTATTATGAAGGAGTTGTTGATCTTTTGAGCTCAATTGATTTTGGATGCAGTCATAAGTTCCTATGTTTAGATTGATAGAAATGTAACGTACTATTGTAGGGATGGTGTTTGGAGGCCCCAAATGATTGGTTCATTCTTGTAGGATTAACAGTCATGCCATGTCCTAATGATGATCTGTGGATATAGTTTACCCACAAGTATGTGTGGTTAGAAATGGCCAACTATAATTTTCTTTATTATTTTCAGGGATATTTCTTTAACATCTACTTTCATACTTTTCTGTGTGTAGCACGGTAGTGTAGTATCAACACTGAATTATGAAACACAAGGTTGGCAGTTCAAAGCCACCAGCGGCTCCTCAGAAACCCTATACTGGTTCGCTTTGAGTTGAAACCGACTTGACAGCACTTAACAAAACACATGTGAAAGCCAGAGAGGGGAAAATGGAGGTGCTATCAGATAATGTACTCTACAGTGAGGGTTTACACCCTCGGAAACCCTGTACAGGGTCGCTATGGGTCGGAACTGACTCGACGGCACTTAACAACAACAACAACAACAGTGAGGGAAGGAGGAAAGACGAGATTATCAAATCCCTAAGCAGAGACAGGATTACTATACTAGTATGCAAATAGGCAGCTAGAGCATAAACATTGGAAGAATGTGGAATCTCTATCTATACCCTATGTCTTTCTTAGCTCATTTTTGGTGACTGTAGCAGTTAACGCAGTCTATTCCTACATATCTGTGGAATTATCCACAAGGTAGAATATAGGTCAGTTTGTAATTAAACAACATGAAAGTGTAACGGACAAGCTCCCTTATTTTTGATCTTTTTGTTTTTGCCTTTGTGCAAAAAAAAAAAAAAAGCTTTTGTTAAGCTAATTCAAATGCAGGAAAATTTGTAAGAGCTGTGTGAGGGTAATTAAGTGTGTTGGTGATAGGCATAGGTTATATTTTTTTTTAAATGGTAAAGTTGGTATATAAGGAGCTCTGGTAGCGTAGTGGTTATGAATCGGGCCGCAAACCGCAAGGTCAGCAGTTCGAAACTACCCTGTTCCACGGGAGAAAGATGAGGCATTCTGCTCCCCTAAAGATTTACAGCCTTGGAAACTGTACAGAGTCGCTATGAGTCGGAACCGACTCCACAGCACATAATAACAACAAAAGTTGGTGTCTAATTGCATATGTCATGTGTCATTGAGTTGGTTCTGATTCATAGCAACCCTGAATAGGGTTTTCAGGGAGCAACTGGTGAGTTTGAACTGCTGACCTTAAGGTTAGCCAGTCCAGTGCTTATCCTCAAGCACCATACCAGGATTCTAATGGTATATAATTGGGTTTTGTTGTTAAGTTCCGTGTAGTCATTTGACTCATAGAGACCCTGTATAGGGTTTCCAAGGCTTAAATCTTTGTGGGAACAGAAAGCTTCATAGTGGGCTCAAACCTGTGGACCTTGTGGTTAGCAGTCCAGTGCTTATCATATGGAGCTACTGTGCTCCCAATGGCAGATACTTAACAACAACAACAAATAGATATGCATAATTTTCATCTTTATGTCAGGAAAGGAGTCCTGGTGACGGAGTCGGCTAAGTGTTGGGTTGCTGACTTTAAAAGGCTGACAGTTCATATCTACCAGCTGTTTCCTCCAGAAGAAAATGAACCTGTCTGCTCTGGTCAAGATTTACTGCCTCTGAAACCTTACCCTTGAGGCAGCTGTACTCTGTCCTATGGGGTTGCTAGAAGTTGCATTCGACTGGGTGACAGTGGGGTTTTTGATTTATGTTGAGAGACACGTCCGTAGAATAGCAGTAACACTCATTTAATCCTGATTACAATTTGTGGAAAAATCACTATTATCTCCATTATACAAATGAGAAAATGGATGTTAGAGTAGAAAACTGAGCAGGTTGATCCCAGGTTACCAGGTAATGGGCAGCACCTGGAATTTTATAAAAGGCCATTAAACTGGTCATCTGCTTCCACGTCATATAACTATTAATTAGAGGGTTGTTTTCTGATTGTTGCTTTAAGTATTAAATTTTTGCACAGCCCGTTTGTTATTGTTTAGATTACTTCCTTATTCCCTTCATAACTGTTGTTTCTCACCCTATTTTCAGGTTCTATACCCCATGATGTGCCTCAGATATTAATTAATAGGGAGCCTTTGCCTCATCTGCATTTTGATGTAGAGCTTCTTGGAGACTGTGATGTCATCATTAATGAATTGTGTCATAGGCTGGGTGGTGAATATGCCAAACTTTGCTCCACCCCTGTAAAGCTTTCAGAAGTTACTGAAAAACCACCACGAACACATAAGGAATTGGCTCCTTTGTCAGAGTTGCCACCTACACCTCTTAATATTTCAGAAGACTCGAGTTCACCAGAAAGAACTTCACCATCCGATTCTTCAGTGATTGTCACACTTTTAGACCAAGCAACTAAGAGTAGTATTGATGATTTGGATGTGTCTGATTCAAAAGAACATATACAAGAAAAATCACAAGTACAGATTTCTACTAGGAACACTGAAAGTATTACTGAACAGTTGGAAGGTCCAGATTTGAAGAACACTGGCTCTACTACTGGGGAGAAAAATGACAGAACTTCAGTTGCTGAAACAGTGAGAAGGTGCTGGCCCATTAGACTCGCGAAGGAGCAAATTAGTAAGCGGCTTGATGGTAAGAAAGGGCATTGAACCATTTGGGATTGTAATTACTGCACCAAAATATTTGTAAGAAATTTACAGCGTTCTGGTGGGTTGATAGTGTAGCTCTGGGAAGCTGAATGAGGACAATTTATTGTGCTAAGAAAAATGGCGAAGTGCTGTTAATCTGGTGCTGACTCATAGCAACTACTATATAGAGTTTCAGAGGAACAGCTGATGAGCATGACTGCTGACCTTAAGGTTCAAACCTATAGCATCACACCAGGACTCCTTTAAAACTTTTTTTTTAAGATAGGAAAACATAATTGAAAGAGAAACCAGTGGCTGTCTTGAATAATATGTAGTCTGCAGCATGATCTGTTTCTCTAAGGAAAGGGAAGAATCAGAAGAAGACCATGTACGCTGCCATTATCTGATGAAAATTTTAGTAGAAACTGTGACTTCGATTTGAGGTCTTTACTGTGTTACCTGATTTACAAACTGACTTTATCTTTGTGAAAAGGAACTATTATCACTTCTCTGATGCAGGTAGGAAGACTGAGGACCACAGTGAGTCAGACCTGAAGTTATAAAATGTGGGTGTGCAAGAACAATGATGAGAATGGGGGGAGTTACAGGTCAAAGCACTGTCTTCTAGGAGCCTGATTGTCATGACTGTGGAGAGCGACACATACTCAAAACCTAGACCTTAGCTGATTGGCTTGCTATCCAGTGGCTTAGGAGAAACATTGGTGATAAGCACTGGAGTTGTCCGTGGTAGACAAATGAGGCTTTCTGTCCTCTCCCCTCCCCCAGCAATTTACTGCCTCAGAAACCCTATAGAAGGTCATTATGATTTGGAGCTGACTTGGTGGCAACAACAACATGCCGGACTTTGACCCATAAATTTTCCTGTTCCATTTATCATTCTGGTATCACATTTTACAGTTTGGGCATGTTCTGGTTTTGTTTTGTCAGCCATGACTGAAATACGCAGAACTGGCTCAAAGCCCTGCTAAAGTAATAACTACAGAGTTCAAAGTGGGAGAAGCTTTTCAGGGGAAAACAGTGAAAGCATAGAAGAATGTTTATAATTTGCAGCAGATGTGGCAAGAGTCAGAAGTAGAGAAATGGGTAGTTTATTTCTGTTTTGCTAAAAATTTATCCTACACCATTTCTTGTTTTAGGCGTTGTTATAAAACACTAACCACTGGATAAGGAGTAATTTAAACCCTTCATGTTTTGGGGTAAAAAGTTCCCTTTGAGATTTTCATAAAAGCTGTGCTCTATTTCCCCAAATAAATGCTAATGTGTAAGTTTGAATATAATGTGAAGGGTGGAAATCAGTGTATTTTGAAACTATCCACAATAGATGCTATACATATATGACAGAAGTGCTTTATGAAAGATAATTTGATTGCAATATTAATTTGTAATTCAGGTGATGGGTCTGCCTATCCTTATAAGTTTCTGTTGTGAATTGAGTGATAGGTTACATGGGGGAACATCAACTTTACACTCATACTATCGTATTTTGTTTCTTTGCAATGATTATAATCTCCATGAATCGTTGTTCAACAGTATTTGCTAGTATTCCCTGCCTATCCTTTTGTACTGGGATTTGTCTTTGAATATCTCGATAGATGTGTTAAACATACATAACTTTTTGCTCTAGGAAACCAAGATTGTATTATGCTTTGGAATCAGACAGACTTGGTTGTGGTTGGTTATGTGCTGTGGAGTCACTTCCGACTCACAGAGACTCTGCATAGGGTTTCCGAGGCTGTAAATCTTTTTTTTCCCCCTGCTCTCTTGGATCTTTTTGTTTAATCAATTCATGAAAAGAAAAATTGCAGAGAGTGGTTGCTGTTCTTGGTTGCATCTTAGTTCTCCAGTGCTGCAAGAAATTTATCCTTTCACAGGTCAGGAGGTTGTTACTGTTACATGCCATCGAACTGGTTCTAACTCACAGTGACCCTGTATAGCGTTTCTGAAGCTGGAAATCTTTGTGGGAGCAGAAAGCCTCATCTTTCTCTGTGTTTAGGTGGTTGGAGGTCAGAATTCAAGGTGCCACTTCTCAGGGAAGGACTTTCTCTCTGTGTTGACTCTGGGGAATCAGGAGGATCCTTTCAGCATCTGTCGGTTTAGTGTTCCTTGGAGATCTGTGTCTTGGTATCAATCTTTCCCTGGGACTAGGAGATTCTCAGCACACGGACCCTGGGCCAAAAGAATGCTCTCTGTTCCCTGTTCTTTCTTGGTGGCACTCTGCTCTCTCTCTTTTTTTTAAAATGTTTTATTGTGAATTATGTGATAGTTTACATGGGAGAACATTAGTTTTACATTCATCCTATCTTATTTATATCGTTTCACTGCCATGGTTATAATCCCCTCCATGCATCATCAATCGGCCTGTTCCCCAGTCTTCAGCACACAGCCCCTTTCCCTCTCTTCCTCTCTGGATCTAAAGTCCCCAACTGCTCCATGTCTGGCATCACTGCTTCTCTGGGTAGGGCCCCATACTCCGCTCTTCTTCCTTGATGGTCTCAGGGACCTCCGCTCCTAGACTGCAAAGTTAATCACTCCCCTCCTTAATACAAAACATCTACCTTTACATTTCCAACCCTCACAATCAGTGCTGATAACAATCATTCACTGTTGTATCACAAGAGACCTATCCCACATTTCATTTCATCAGCCCCGCATGCAGTAACAGATTGAATACAGATTGGAGTAGTAACAGATTGGATACTACTCAGTGGAGATTCTACCTTCCTCCACGCCCTCTGCATCTAGGTTCCATCTTGAAAGCTTCTAAGCCAGTCACTTCTTGCCTTTGTAGTCCCCCCACTTTGGATAGCCAATGTCCAAGTTGCCCATCCTTGTCTACTCTGTGTATGGAGGGGGCAGGAATGATCCTCACTGTAAAGATTTGTTCCCTCTTTTGAGCTACTGCATCCATAGGTGTAGGTCAGGTTCATCAAATTGCATCGGAGGACTTTTTCCTTGTCTTTCTTCTCGTTGAGCTCTGATCACCAGTCATTGAAGCCAGGTCAAGTGGGTATTTTCTGCAAGTGTGGGTGCTCTTGTGCATGGCCTCTCTTATCGGCTGGACGCTTCACTCTAGTCCTCTGGCTACGTCACTGACTCTTGGACCCTAGAGTCCCCAGGTCTTGCAACAGTGCTGGCCAACCAGGTCTCCACCTGGGTTCTCAGGCGTCGATTGAATGTTGTAGAGCTTAGCTCATACCGAGGCTATAAATCTTTATGGAAACAAAAAGCCTCATCTTTCTTCTGGGCCCGGCCTGAGTTGCTCTCAAATCCACCTTAAGCAGAGTTATTTAATTTCTTAGCTTCCTAATATGTAAAATGGGGGATAAAATAGCACATATATACTCCAATAGAATTGAGAAAATAGCTGCTGCTATGTGAAGACAAGGCAGAAGCCGGTATGGGGATCCTTGGTTTCAGAAGCAGATTCAGTTCTTCAAGGTAGCCAGGGCAGGATGATGAAAAGTGCAGGACAGCTGTGTTCTGTTGTTGTTAAGCACCTGGATAGTGTTTTTGAGGGTGGCTAGTAGTTCAGTGAATCCAAAGCACCTTAAAGGAAGGAGATGGCCCAGTTAGAAGTGCTGGATGGATTTTCTTTTAGCAGTCTCACTTGAGACTTTCCTCTGGCTCCCACCATGCAAATTAATTCCACTGGTTTAGAAAAGTAAACACTGTGTGGTTGAATGGCAATTTGTAATCAATGTCTCTTTGAATCTGAACTGACTGATGATACTTCATATACAAGATGTTTAGAAATCAGTTATGTGGATTCAGATCAGGATCACATGTACTTGATAAATACAGTATCAGGACAGACAACAAAGTTTGAAAGTCACTTTGAAGAGATGGGTGTGCCATTCCAGATAAGATTTTTTTGTTAGCCTGGGATGTTGTTGTTAGGTGCCATTGAGTTGGTACCAAATCATAGCAACCCTATGCATACAGAACCAAACACTGCTCAATCCTGGGCCAGCCTCACAATTGTTGCCACGCTTGAGTCCATCGATGCTTGCCACTTGGCCAATCCATCTTGTTGGGGGTCTTCCTCTTTTTCTCTGACCCTCCTTACCAAACATGATATTCCTCTCCAGCGACTGGCCCCTCCTGACAATTTGTCTCAAGTATGAGAGACGAAGTCTGGCCATCCTGGCTTCCAAGGAGCACTCTGGCTGCACGTCTTCCAACACAGATATGTTTGTGCAGTAAATAAATTACGATGTGAAAATAGATAAATTAGGGACCCCACAGTATAGAGTTTCTGAGGAGCAGTTGATGAGTTTGAACCACCAACCTTGTGGTTCAAATCGACCGTGCAGTCTAGTACTTACTCTACAGTGCCACACCAGTACTCATGTTAGGGACTACTTGTGAACTGTAGGGTAGAAAACATTTCATCATAAAGTTTTTAGAGTTTCCCCTCCTCATTTTTAAATGACAATATAAACAGAAGTTAGCCCTAGGAGTGCTGGAGACTTTGAAGCATCTTGTTCATATTTGTGTGTTGGGAGTGACATTCTCAGAATACCCTAGAGGAGTTTTTGAGCTGAGATTCATGGCTTAAGGGGAGGGAGGGGACTCTCCTCACCATCTTAGGTGAAATTTTACCCCATTAATACAAATTTGGGAGAGTGTTCAGTAAAGGAAGAAAGAATTAAGTCCAGTGCTGAAGTAATGCTTCTACAGTTGGAATGTGGCAGGACTCTTACATAAAAATGCATTCAAGACATGGATTTGAGAATTAAAAATTGCTTCCTAAATGATGCAAATGTCCACAGCACACTGTGGCTACACACTGGCAATTCTAATTTGGATTTCTAATAAGCAGAGAAGGTGACTGACACAGTAATGTGTTGCAGAGAAGTTCATCTTTAATGAACATGAATTTGGGGAATCTAGTTTAGGCTATACTGAATATACTTCATTTCATTCTCATCAGATCTCTTCACTGAATTTGTTAACCTTTATTGAACAGTTATCTACATTTTTCATACTTTCCCAGAGGAGGAAATTCAGGCACAAACAATCATCTAAGTGGCAGAACTCTGAACCCAGAACTGAACCTGTAACTTGATTTTAAAAACACTGTAGTGACATCTAGTAAAGCTACTCAGTAGAGTGGACCTACACTTCTTCCAGGATGTCTAGTCAGCTTTAATTTTAATTTGTTATAGAAAACTGAAAGTAACTTTTTCCTCTTATTACTGTAATATATTTCAGGTAATCAATATCTGTTTTTACCACCAAATCGTTACATTTTCCATGGCGCCGAGGTATATTCAGATTCTGAAGATGACGTCTTATCCTCTAGTTCTTGTGGCAGCAACAGTGATAGTGGAACATGCCACAGTCCAAGTCTGGAAGAAGCTATAGAGGATGAAAGTGAGATCGAAGAATTCTACAATGGATTGGAAGATGATGCTGATGTTCCAGAGAGAGCTGGAGGATCTGAATTTGGGATTGATGGAGGTGATCAAGAGGCAGTTAATGAAGCAATCTCAGTGAGACAGGAAGCAGCAGACATCAACTATCCATCAACCACATCATAATGTAATAGTAGTCTGGGTAGAGGAATTGTTCCACCAGCATTAGGAACCTGAGCATGTCAACAGGAATGTTTACTTGTGAACTCCATAGTGCAAGGAAACCAGAAAAGTGTAATATTTATAGACTGGTAAAATAGATTGTTTTTTTTCCCCATGGTTAATTTTTAACTTCATTATTTCTGTTCTTGTACACACAACACTAACTTTTTTTTTTTTTTAAAAGAAAGGTACTAAGTATCTTTAATCAGCTCTTGGTCAAGACTCTTTCTTTTAAAGGTTCATTTGTATGATACATTCGTATGTATATATAATTTTTGTTGTCTAGTGAATTTCAACATTTTAAAGTTTTCAAAAAGCCATTGGAATGTTAAATTAATGTAAAGGGAACAGCTTATCTAGACCAAAGAATGGTATTTTCACACTTTTCTTTGTTAACATTGAATGGTTTTGACATCCTCAAATCTCTGTTCTGCTAAACTTTTGATCTTTAGCATAATTAACTATTTTTAAACACTGGCATTTTCCAAAACTTTGTGGCAGCTAACTTTTTAAAAATCTCAAATAACATGCAATGTGAGTAGAAAGAAAGAAGTCAACAATATGTGGGAGAGCACGTTGTCTTGCCTTTGTAAAGTTAAGACTTGGTGCTTAAGAACTTCAGGAATATGGTATTCGCACGAAAATTGATTTTTGTACTTCTTGCAGACATGTAGCAATGTCTCTGTTGGCTCATAAATCTAAACTGAAAAACGAATGCTTTGGAAATGTTTGTTTCTTTAGAAACACTAGTGCCTGCCTGGACCCCCTTAGTTTGAAGAATACTTTCCATTGTTGTTTAAATACCTGTCACTGTGGTGTAGAGCTTGCAAAGGTCCTTTCCCACAAGTATTAAAACTGCCAAAATGTGAATATGCAAAGCAAAGCCTTTCTGAATCGATAATAATGGTACGTCTATGGGGGAGTGTGTAATATTTTGGACTATTTTGCTTTTTATTAATGAGGAGAGCACCAGGCTCCTAAATATAATTCCAAAGTAATATGTTAATTATAACAGCCAGAAAAGTACATGTCCCTTGGAGAAACACACTACGTGGCTCCTATTGGGGGGAACTGGTGTAATATAAACACCAAACTACTAGCCTAGTATTATGGAGATGAACATGATTTAACTTCTATTAGCAGAACAGTTAATTACAAGTTCCTGCAACATATCTTCATTTAAAAGTTTAGCTCGTCTTAAAACTCTAGAGATCAACTTTCTCAGTTGTAGAAGCTTCTAGCCTTTTAAAAAAGTTCATACATTGTAAAAATTGCACAGTAAGCATTTATTTTCCTGATCTTTTCCCAACATAATTGCCTGACTATCCATATGTTACTTTAGTATTTATTACAATTAAAAAAGGGTTTGAAATACAGCTGTTCTTTAAGCATAAGATATCCAGCTTTTAGGACCATTACTACCATAGAAATTGTATTGAATGGCCATTAACCTACCTAAAAAGATAATCTCAATCTAAATTTGGCTACACTAAAGAATGCAGTATATTTCGTTTTTCATTTGCATGATGTGTGTTTGTGCTATAGATGATATTTTAAATTGAAAAATTTGTTTTAAATTATTTTTACAGTGAAGACTGTTTTCAGCTCTTTTTATATTGTACATAGTCTTTTATGTAATCTACTGGCATATGTTTTGTAGACTGTTTAATGACTGGATATCTTCCTCCAACTTTTGGAATACAAAACCAGTGTTTTATACTTGTACACTGTTTTAAAGTCTATTAAAATTGTCATTTGACTCTTTTCTGTTAACTTACGTTGTTCAAAGTACAAACTTGAAATGTTTTCCATTTTGCACAGCACTGAGGGTTGTATTCGATGCTTTCCTTAGTACATGGAGACCCCAGGCAGTACAAACTGTTAACATGCTCGGCTACTAGCTGAAAGGTGGCTGTTAGATCCCAGAGGTGGTTTCTGAAGAAAGGTCTGGCAATCTGCTTTAAAAAACAAAACAAATATAAAACCCTACTGAGCAGTTCTACCTGACAGGCTGTTGTTGAGTCGATGCAGGCAACTTTTCTTCTTTGAATTATACTTAACCTTACCAGAAACAACTTTCACTGATGGGGCTTGGTTTGGGGCATGTATCACCAGTAGTTTCAAAACTAGTATTTCAAACATTCTAGGCCACAGGTCTCAAATAAGATGGGGAAAAGGAGGGGCCTGCCTCAGAACTTGACACAAGAACTGATCAAAGTCAGATGGCAGACCACAGAGGGTATCCATATTTTGAGTCACCTGGAAGACACCCGAATGGCACTTTGCTGCTTCCAGGGCTCTTGCCTCCCTAACATTGCCCTAACAGGTGCCCCGTTTGCACGGAATACTTGTAAAACCCCAACTGAAAAGTAAGTGGCGTTTCTTGTATGCACAAATTGGAAAAAGTGCTTCATACCTTGCGGCTGCATGCCATTAGTTCCATTTTGACTCATGGTGACCCCAGTATAGGGTTTCTAAGGCTATAAATATTTTACAAGAGCAGAAAACCGTCATGGATTCCATGAAGAGATTGGTGGATTCTAAGTGTCAACTTACAATCAGGGCTCCTAAGTTCATACCTTTGTTGTTAAGAGTCAGTTCCAACCCATAGCAACCCTGTATAGGGTTCCGAGGAGCAGCTGAGGAGCTTGAACCACCAGCGATGCAATTCAAAATGACTTTGCAGTCCAGCGCATTAACCCATAGCACCACACTAAGTGGTCTTTTAAATACAATGAAATTTACCTCTAGAAATACCTGGATTTTTAAATTGGGTTTTATAAGCAAATACTGAAAAAGGTGGGGACATACCATTAGGGCAACTTGTTTAGTGATAAAAGTTTTGGATGACCAAAATATAAAAGAAAAATTGGAGAGTGGTAAGAGGTGGCTAGGAAGCAGAACATTAGAGCTGGCTTTCAGAGTTTACAATATGCACGTGGAAGACTACTGTGAATACAGGACTTTTTGTTAAAACCAAAACCCTCAGTAGAAATAGACCCCAATGAATAGTTATGTGAACTGACCATTCTACAAGAATACTGACACAGGGACTCCAATTCAGGTCTCTAATGGTGAAAGCTGCATTATTCTAGTTTTAGTTCCTTCTAATTTAAAGGAGCTCACTGGTTTTATTACCTTATAAATCAATCTGGACAAGAGCTTTTGGTAAACATTACTACAAAATTAAGAAGAGAATTACAAACACATGATTGTCTCTTGCATATAACTCAAGAGCTGAGCTAGAATGCAGAAGAGATTGTTACTGTTATAGAACAATTTGGATATTTCATGTTTTCACTTTCTTTTATGGATCTCCTAGTTAACAGTGTGCACTACAATCTGTAACAGAGAGGAAAATGATACAATACCCCAATTAACCCTTGTATGCTCCCAGGTAAGGTGCTAGGGCCTTGTTTAAAATGATCTGTTCACAGATGAGCTTGATTGCACACAGAAGTTACTTATGAAAACCAGCACTAACACATCTGTTTTCTATTTGAACACCCATACATCAAGAAATGGACGCCCAGGAAACAGTACATGTAACACCAGGTATGTAGAGAAGTTTTCATAGGGAAGAAAGCCACTTCGAGGGAAATTGCTTTAGGTAAGAATGTTACATTAGTGCTTTTATCTATAAAAAGACTCTAATGGGTCACCAGTATAAAAAGGTTCTATTTAGTTAAACTAGAAAGTACAGGTCCACAATCCATTACCCTAGAACCCTTGAGCTCAGCTGCATTTTGCGTATTGTTAGCACTGCCACTGGGGCCGGGGCAAAATCTTAACCAAAATGATATGGAAATAAGTAAAAAATTTTGGATCTTACATGAGAACCAATGAAAGTTTAAATATTAAACCAATAAATCTTTATTATTTAAACAGTTTTCACGGCATTTTTAAAATAAATTTAAAAAATAAATATTTGCATTATAGCTGAAAGTCACATGTATTGCATTGACTGACTTACAATTTAACAACAGGAGAAAACTAAGCATCAGCACCATAAAACTTAAGATTTGTTTTTAAAAATCCAAGGAAATAGTTCTAAAGCACTATGAAAATTCTGACCAAATACTAACCTGCAGCATCAATAATTTTGAAAGGTATATATAACCCAGTAATTGGTTCTCATAGAAGCCAATGTTTCTATTCCTTGGCACCTCTAGGATAAAAGTTTTTCCACTACTAAATGAAATTTTGTGATAAAACAACCTTCCACCTGTAGAATCTCAGTATTCACAAGACAGGAAAGAACTACAAGTTATTTAGTATAATTCCTATCTGTAATTTGCTGTGCACACAGACACTGATCCTAGCAAAAGAGCAAAGATTGTATTTCTACCATGCCTTTTTTTTTTTTTTGCCTTTACAGATTCTCAGTAATATTTAATGGCCATAATTTTTTAACTTTTAAAAGTTAGCTCAATTCAATTACAACCATAGAAACTGCACTGGTATCAGAACATAACTATTTTATTACAAAACTTAATTTATTTACAAAATGAAAAGATAATCAAAAGGCTATTGCAGGCCAAAGTTCAGGTTGGTCACCCAGTGATTGAAGAAAAACTAAGCAGTATTTCCATGCACTCAGACACCAATCATTTTTAAAGTATGCAAACTCTTAAAATTCATGTTAGTAAAACTTTAATGTATTCACAATACGTGTATATTTATTGGAAGATGGCAAGAAAAAAAAAATCCATGGTTCTGTACATTAACTTTTATATTGACAAAGTTTGTTCATTTTCCTTTAAGATTTTTTTGGCTTTCATGAATAGCATTGAACATTTTGCAAGTCAGAATTATAAGAGTACCTCTGTCACCTTGCGGAATTCATCACAAGAATAACAAAGTTTAGTGCTCTTGCACGAAACTCAATAGTTATAATAATCCCAAATGTTATATTAAACTGAAGCCTTCATTGTGATCAATAGCTTGGATCAGTTTAGATCGTAGAGTTTCTTTTTCTGTATATTTGGGAAGATCCAGAAGATTAAAACAGGTATGGGAGACTGGGAGATACTCCTCACCACCTCCTGTTGACTGAATGACTAGTTTTAGACTCTTCATACCTAGGATAGGAATACGATCACTACCTGTCAAGAACACTGCCAAGGAAAAAAAAAGATCATTAGTAGGACAGCCACTTTTTAAAACGACAACATAAGTACCATGTTGTTTAGTAGACAGTTATTATAACCAAGTTTTATATTAACTTTGGCCTATCTCCAGATAGAAGCCTATCTCCAGAATTTTTGGGAGATGAGATTTTGGAGACATATACTAAGTATATATCTGAACTATTTTTTCCCCTTAAAAAGGGAAATAATACTTGGCACACAACACATGCTTAATAAATATTGAATGACTCTTTTGTCAATGACAAAAGTTTTGGGAGCAATCGTGGGAATAGCTGTCAAGACATATGTTACAAACCAAATACAAAAATACAGTTTGAGTATGATTCCTTATTCTATATGCTTTCTTTCAGTGTCTTTTTTTAAAAACAGTAACTTATAATGCACAGCCAAATTCAAGTCACTTTCAAAGAAAACTGACAACTGATGAACGCAAAAAAAAAAAAAATCAAGACTCTCGTAGCAATTCTCAAAAAGAAATGGCCAAAAATATTATTTTTATCAATATAGTAGGAATATCAAAGAGAATGTCACTGATACACATATTGAAAAAAGAAAACCTATAAAAACTAATTATATTCTGTGAGAATAATGGATCCTACTCTCATATTGATCTAGTTAGAAATACTTACATAGAAACTGCTTTTTCTTTTCCAATGGTAATTCATGAAATACCTCCCAAAAAATTTTTATTGTAGGATGTTCTGCCCAATATTCTCCTTTGTATTCTGTATTCTAAAAACAACAAAATCTTTTATTAATATTAATGGATACTAGTTTGTATTAAGTTTGGCAAACTGGCTTCCTGAGGATACAAAGCTAACATGATGCAGGAGCTTGAAAGGTGTGTGATCCAGCTAATTAGCAACTCTGCTGGGCATTTGTAATTTGGTTCCAGGGAAGAAAGTACATATGAAAGCGATGTTGCTCTAGTACTTCAAAGAAAATGATAGGATTATAATAATCACCTCTCAAAAGTAATGACTCAAATCGACTCGATGGCACTTAACAACAAACAATGCTAATGGTATAAAATTTCAACATATAATTATCTATGATAATCATGAAGTTTTCATTTTCTACATTTATATCACAAGTAAAATTATTGCACATTCTATCTAACCTTGAAAAACTAATGGTACACTAAGAACAACGCTGTGAGCCCTGGGGCTGCAGTGGTTTTGTACTTAGCTGTTAACTGAAAGGTCCGCAGTTTGAATCCAGCAGTCACTCTGAAAACAGATGTGGCAGCCGTCTGTTTCCATGAAGATGACAGCCTAGGAAACCCTACAGGGCAGCAGGGTCACTCTGAGGAAGAACTGCAGACCACTGATAGCTAATTCCCAATATGGCCACAGTGAGCTCAGCCTCCTGCATTCAAGTCCTTGAGTAGTTCCCTCCCATGTGACAGAAGAGAAGACCATAAGGTCAGCAGTTTAACCACCAGCTGCTCCTTGGAAACCCTATCCTATACCAGGTCGTTATGAGTCAGAATGGACTCAACAGCACTTACCATCCCTGATTGTGTTTTTCCCTCTTTCTTCTGTTCATCATTCCTTCTTGTCTCCAATTAGATCTTTTTTTTTTTTTTCTGGTGTGTTGTGGGTTAATGCGCTAGACTGCAAAGCCA